TAACAGTAGGGTGCTCAGCACGAAACCGGTCAGACTCAGGGTCCGCAACGACAGGCAGAGAAGACGCAGGAGGAGACGGCAGAGGAACACGCTGCGGAGGAGAGGAAGGACGACGGACTACGAGGTGGGTGTCGGGAACAGCCGGCTGACGCGGACGAGGAACACGACGACCGGAACTACCAGAACGGACAGGCGAGACAGGACGCGACGCAGGCTCACGACGCTCAGTAAGACCCCCTGTCTGCTCAGTGTAAGGAGAAGGAGCAGGCAGCGGTGAGCGAGGCTATAACGGAAGACCAGTAGACGAAGGGAGACTAAGAACCTGGCGAAGCACAGAGTCAGGCGGTGGCTGAGACGACGGAGACGGCGGAGCGAAGAACAGGCGCGGCTGTGCAGTGACACCAGCACCAGCAGCTCCGGTACCCCCAGCAGCTCCAGCACCTCCAGCAGCTTCAGAACCCTCAGCACCAGCTCCTCCAGGACCAGCTCCACCACCAGCAGCACCCCCAGAACCGGCACCTCCAGTCCCAGGGTCTCCAGCCTCCGTGTCTCCAGCAGCAGCACCTAGTGCCACAGGCGCTATACCTGGGGCTATACCTGGGTCAGGCGGCACACACAAGTAGCAGTCACCCTCAGCACTAACAGTCAATGCATACATGGCAGCAAGAATAGCCTCATAGTCAAGATCAAAGATAGGTACATCACGCCTAAGCAGGTCTGCCCAGTTGGGGAACTCAGTAGCATCAGGAAACTTGGCGCGCCAGGCGTCGCTAAGCCGAGCGAAGCAGCGCTGCTCAGTGTGAAACCCTGTGCACTGGCGACCAGCGCGGGGACCTGTGCGAATGATATAGGGGCAGCGACCAGGACCCCCAGAAGCCCCACGCCCGGCATACCAGTCAAGAAGCTGCTGGGAAGTGGGGGTCTGGCGCTGACGCTGCTGCTGCTGCGATTGCTGCTGGCCCTGACCACCACTGCCACCACCGCTCCCTCCTCCCCCACCGCCGCTGCTGCCACCTCCACTGCTCCCAGTGCCTCCGCTGCCCCCACCACCACCTCCACCACCTCCACCCCCACGACCGCCTCCACCACCTCCACCTCCCCCGCCGCCTGCACCACCGCCACCTCCACCGCAACCCCCACCTCCCCTGCCACCCTTGCCGCCCCTGCCGCTGCGACGCTTCCCACTAGGAGCGGAAGCAGCCCCGACCTCCTCAGCACCAAGGTAGTCGTGAGCAGCAGCTGCGGAGGCGTAGGAGGGGGTGAGAGGGGAGGGGGAGCACCCCTCAAAGAGGGGAGAGCGAGGAGTGCTGCTCGTGGCAGGTGCTTCTCGAAGTCGTCGACAGTGAGAGTGGTGGGGTCTAGCGCTAGGAAGTGGTCCCTGACAGAACTAAGAGTGTCAGGGAGGCGGGTGACGAGGAAATAGAGAGTGAAGTACATCGGGGGGGGGGGGGTTTGCGGCGCAGAACTCGGCTGAAAGGGCGTCACGAAAGCGAGTGTCAGTAGCGCGCAGGTGGGAAATGAGGTCCTCAGCAGTGGTGAACGAGGAAAGGTCGGGGAACAGGTAGGGTAGCATGAGCCGACCTATGGCTGCAGTGGCCGGGGAGGAGTAGCGCGCAACTACAGCGTCGTACAGTGTCTTAGCAGTTTTGTGCTGGCTGAAATGCGCGCGCTCAGTAATCGGCAGATGGTTCCTAATAGCTAGGCGTGCAGCAGCATCGCGGGTCTGCCACTGTGAGCGTTCGAGAGCAGGAGCATCGGCAGCAGGAGCAACGGCAGTGCCAGACACGTAATCGAACAGTGAAACACCCTCTTTGGCATCGGTCAGAAGGAACAGTTGGAGATCGTCGAGCCACACAGCGAACTCTATGGGGCGACCGTCAGGCTCGAACGCGAGAACATTAGGCGTCGTCATAACGGCAGCAGGCAAAGGCAGTAGGCAGCAGGCAGCAGACAGGAGGCAGCAGGCAGCAGGCCGCAGGCAAAGACAGAGACAGCAGGCAGCAGACAGGAGGCAGCAGGCAGTAGGCCGCAGGCCAAGACAGAGGCAGCAGGCAGCAGGCAACACAGGCAGCTTGCAGGGCAGTAGCTTGCCGCACGCGAGCTCCTAAGGTGGCGCGCTAGGCAGCAGCAGGCCGCGCGCTTTCTAAGGCAGCGGGCTCGGCAGCAGCGGGCCGCGCAGGCAGGCACACGGGCAGGGCACGCGCGGCTGCTGGCTGCGTGCGGCTGAGGGTTGCGCGCGGCTGCTGGCTGCGCGTGGCGACGGGCTGCGCGCGGCTCCTGGCTGCGCGTGGCGACGGGCGGCGCGCGGCTGCGGGCTGCGTGCGGCGGCGGGCTGCGCGGGCGTGGCCTAAGCAGGCTGCGCGCGGGCGGCGTAAGCGGCGCGCGGGCGGGGCCTAAATGGGCTGCGCGGGCGGGGCCTAAACGGGCCGCGCGGGCTGCTTAAGAGGCGCACGCGGGAAAAAAAAAGGGCCGCGCGCGTGCAGCCGAGGCGCGCGCGGGCAGTAGGCAAGGCAGGTAGGTAGGTGAGGTAATGTGGTAACCGGTGGGCCCTAATCCTAGGTCCTAAAGACCTATGCTCTAGATACCATGTCAGGATCTTAGGCAAGGAGAAGTGGTTTCAACTATCGAGAGGTTTGATACAAGAGTGAAACCTAAGGGGTTGTACCCCACAGTATGTACCCCACTAAGCCTACCCAAACTACAACATATAAATATATGTTTGACAATCAGTCTTGATCCGACGGTTGCTGATGTCGCTCGACTCTTCTGACTCCTCGACTTCGTACTCGGTAGAGTCTATTCCTGCAGCGTACAAATGCTTTCTCGTTTAGATTTATATCTCAACAGGGGAGGGACTCAAGTGAGATGGGGGATTCATGTGTAAAAGTACACATTCACATATTTGCATGTATTATTGTAGGCTAGATTGGGTTATGCTACAATGGGTATGGGTTTATACATCTCCAACATGTATGCCCCCATTCTAATCATTTTCTCATTCGGACATCATGTTGGTAGGAAGGGGCGATCAGAGGTCAGTAATGTACCGTACACTTTTATTTATTGAGTTATTTGCTCTAAAGCTGATTGCTTGGGCATCTTGTCGAGTCAAAGCAAAGAATGCAAGAAACCATAATTTGAAGGATAAGTATGTTATTCATTTTGCAGCAGTGTCAGCACTCAGCCCAGTGGATGCTAATATAGCAATAATGGTAATTGGGGTATTTTCATCTACGTGGCTGTAAAACATACACTGATTTAGCACTGATTTTGCACTGAAACATACACACAAAGTCTAGCCTAGTAGACCTAGTTTCGTTTTGTACTTCCTAGAAGCCTTTACGCGTTAGGGCGTGTTCCGTGTCCCGTTTGAATGTTGGTCTTTTCTGCGTCCTAATATGTTCAGATAGCGTACATGGGGTTCCAGCTGGAATCATTTTTTGAAGGGGATTTATTTTTGGGTCGCGTCGCGTATCGCACATCCTTCTGATCTGACACAGCGCAGCGAGCCATCAGTTCTGCTTGTCTGCAGCAGCAGCCATCGATCGAAACGACGACACACTCGAATGTCACCTTGCCTTGCCTCACCTCCTCCCTCCCTCCCTCCGCTCGCCTCGCCCACCCACCCACACATCCATCTGTCAACAACAACAGCTACTTTTCGGCACGGCGGGAGAACAGCCGCACCTTTCATTTCACCCCACAGGCTGTTATTGTGCCTTTGGCGCTTCGTAAACAGTCATGCCGCTTTTGAAACGCCGGGACTGCTGGAGATCACTGTGTACTGAGGGCTCGCAGCTTCCTCGCTTTCACGAGTTTGCGTCACATGTAGGAAATGCCTTCAGCCGAGGTTCGAATGCTCTTCCTCCGCAACCTCCACAATCTCCACAACCTCAAGTCGTAGCAGCTAATGGCCCTTAGTGGAACACTGAAAAGAATCAAAGAGGGGGAAGGACGACCGGATGCCATGACCAGACCTGGGACCAACGTTTTATCTAGCGCATTTCCGACCAACTCTTGCGTACGACGATCCTGTCCCCCACCGTTGGGTCCGCGACACATACTCGGAAGCGCGCTAATCCGCGCCTGCCACTTAGCGCCGCCCTGATCTCGCATCATGGTGCTTTGTAATCAAGAAACAGGAGCTCCTTAGTCGTCTCGCTCTTTCAATCGCTCTCTCCGAGAGAGCCACAGTACCGTCTTCCACTCCCACTTTGCCACTCGCTCTCGCCCTGAGAAATAAGAGTGGTTATTAAGGATACAGGCTGGTTCCTTTCCGAGATACTCGTTCTTGTAGTTCCGTCCTGGCACCATGAGTATGGGGAACAGAGAGGCCCGTATGCAGCAGAGATATCTAGTACGCGACCGCACTGCCGCAGATCGCGGAGTCCTCGTTCGACATGCCAAATCCGTCGCCACCATGTCGGCTGTGCTACTATGCCTCCTCCTCGCACTAGCGCCACATGCTCAGTCGCACACGCCGCAGTCTTTCGCGACCCGCCGCGAAGAAGGTACGTCGGAGCACGCACACGCAAACGCAGCGCATGCGCACGCGTTTCGGTTTACGCTCAGACTTCCTTAGGCCAGTTCCTTCCAAAAGGCAGCCCGCAATCCTCTTGCTCCGCAACAATCTCCCCTTTTTGTTTTCTCGACGCTCTCGCAATCCATCAATGCAACAGCTTGTACTTTTATTCTCATCCGAGCTGCTTCGTCCCCTTGGTTCCGAATGAAAAGAAAAGAGAAAAAACATCTCTGAAAGCTGGAAGCCCTCCTTCTGAGAGGCCACAGCTTTTTCAGTTCCGCCTCTCCGCTCCATTCCCCGCCCCCGCTATCCCCTAATGACAGATTCCGCCACCGACAGCCCCGCTTCCCAAAAACGTTCCGCGTCCGCTTCTTTCTTCCCCCGCTCGCTCCGCCGACTGACCGCGCTGGGCCTTGTGCAGTGGTGGCTGCGCCGACATTCCCGCGTACCGGACGCCTCCGCGTACCGACAGCCGCGCATGCCCTGTAAGCGAAAGGGACAAGGGCGTGCGTGGCGTGCGGGACGTGCGGGTCTTCGTAATACGCTTGTCTCCCGCTTTTCCCATTCTCCCTCTTCTTCCCGTTCTCCTCGCGCCTGCATTTCATCCACGCCTTCCGCTTTCCCGCTTTCCCCCTTTCCCCGTGCCCCCCCGTTATCCGTACCCGCGCGCAGACGGCCGCACTCTCGGCCTCCCCCCGCCCCGCGCGCACCTGATGTCGGCGCAACCCGCGTTCAACCCCGTGTCGCGGTACCTGTCGCTGGGGCTGTCGTTTTCGCCTGACACGGGCAAGCCCGTGTGGGGATTCCCCCCCGCCGCGTCGTTCGTGGCGAAGTTCGGGCCTGTCGGCGACCAAGGCCAATGCAGTGAGCAGAGAGAGTCGCGAGCAGGGAGTGTGTAGAGGAGCGGGTGGCTACTTGTGAATCGCGAATAGTAGTACATCCGCGCGTACGGTGTGTCTCGAGAGTCTGTGTACGGTGTGAAAAATGAATTACAACTGCCAGTGCAGTGTAGCGAGCGAGCAGTGATTCTTGCGCGTGCGATTTATTCGCGCGCAACTGCGCACGCCGCCGCCGCTTTCGCCTAACCCCTTCCCCCGACCTACGCGCCTCCCGCCACCTCCCCAACCCCTTCTTCCCCTTTCCCTCCCCCCCCACAGGCGCGTGCTGGGCGTTCGCCGCAGCGGGCGCCGTGGAAGGCGCGTACTACGCGCTGTCGTCGCAACTGCCGCCGAACTCGTCGCTGTCGTCGCAGCAGCTGGTGGACTGCGCCGTCGGGTCGTGCATGGGCGGGTACCCCGAGGACGCGCTGCAGTACGCGACGGCGAACGCGCTGGCGCATGCGACGTCGTACGCGTACCGTGCGACGAAGGCGACGTGCAATGCGACGGGCGTGCAGCAGCACGTGGGGACGCAGGTCCCCACAACGAATGCGGTAGGGGTGGGTGGGTGCGGAGAGTGGGTTTGGTTTGGAGGGGATCGAGAAGGGGGTGACATCACGCTGTGCTGTAACCATGCGGCCTTGCATGCTGTCAGAGTCATTAGTTAGCATGGCACCACTCTGCATTCGCTGCCCGTTACGCCATGCTCTACTCAAGTACCGCAGTGCTCTGCGGTGCGATGCACTGCTTTGCCCCCCTTTCTCAATAGCATCACCACTCAACTCGCTCCGCCATCCCCTTCCCGCCCCCCGACCTCACGCCACCAACCCCTCTTTCCCGTTTCCCCTTCCTCTTTCCATGCCTCGCCATCGCAATTGCCGCCTCTTCCGTCACTTTCCCCTCCTCCGCAGGCGGTGAACACGAGCACGGTGCCATCAGCGCTGCGCATCCAGCTGTACGAGCAGGTGCCGCTGCCCGGCGCGCTGGGGCTCATTCTCGCCGTGCAGAAGCAGCCCGTTATAGTCACGCTGCACGGCTCGCACCCCTCGTTTGCCTGGTACACGGTGAGAGCTGGTCGGGTGCGCTGGGATGGTAGGGGGAATCGGGTCGGTTGCGAGGGCGCAGGGTCGAGGCGGAGACGGTAGAATGCGGTGGTGGGCGGTGTGAGAGACATAGTATTTTTCTGAATTTAACGCTCCTGTGTGGTCTTGAATCTGATCCTGGCTGTGCATGGCGCATTCTCCCTCCAGCCTACCCCGCACAGGCTGCGTTCTCACACCCACCCTCCCCTCGTCCCTTGCTCCTCCCCCGTCCCTCCGCTTGTCCTGTCCTCCCCTCCCCTCCTCTCCCGATCCCTCCCCACCCCTCCCCGCCCATCCCCGCCCTCCCGCCCATTCCCTCCCCCAGGGCGGGCTGTACTCGGACGAGACGTGCTTCGACCCGGCTAGCCCCGTGCTAAACAACGCGGTGCTGGTGGTGGGTTACCGCGTCACGGCTCTTGAGTCAACTAAAATTACCGCGTCTCTCCCCCCTTCCCCGTCCCCCAGGGCGGGCTGTACGCGGACGAGACGTGCTTCGACCCAGCGAGCCCCGTACTAGACCACGCAGTTCTCGTGGTGGGGTATCGCTTCACGGCACCAGGCGCGAGCGACAACCATTTTGTGCTGCGCAACAGCTGGGGGCCCGCGTGGGGCGAGGACGGGTACATGCGCGTGGCCGTGAGCAGCGCACAGTACGGAGGCATCTGCGGCATGACGTACAACCTGGGCGTCTACCCCGTGCTGGACCGTGAGTGCTGCTTGGTACAACCTTCTGAGTGGAATCAAACAGTCACCTGCTGCGCCTGCACGCTGTTGTGCTGGGCCGTGAGTGGCGCCCTTCTGGACTGCTTGCTGTCTTGCTCTTCTGAGTCGTCTTGAATTGAAATGTCATCGGCGCATGTGCCCACGTCCCCCCCCCTCTTCCCCCTTTGCCCGTGACTGCCTCTCGGTATTCCCCAGCTTCCTCCTCCTCCTTCTTCTTGGGCACTCAGGCATACACGTTCCATCCATCCACCCTCTAAAACCTTCACCTGGCGCCTTCCCGCCAATTCCTCTTTCTTCCCCCCTTTCTCTGCCACTCTCTCCCCCTCCCCCTGCGTCCCCCTGCGTCTTTCCCAACGGTGCAGCCCAGAAGCAGGCTAACCCATGCACATCATGCGGGGGGGGCGCTTGTAGAACCACTCGCATCCTCGCCCATGGCACATCCACCCCCATCCCCACCACCACCACCACATACTCCTCCTCTTCCTCCTCTTCCTCCTCCTCCTCCCCCTCCTCTGTCCCCTCTCGCCGTCTCCGTCGCTCCAACTTGGAGATTGCACGCTCGCGGCTGCAGCGGGTGGCACGAGAGGGGCCGGGGGACAGACGGCGGCAGCTGGTTTCCAGCGACAGCAACCCCGGAAGAAGCCAGCAGCACCACCAGCACCACCAGCAGCGGCAGTGGCACAAGGGAGCGAGCAAGAAAGGTGCCACACGAGCAAGCCCGAAGAAAGCGGGCAGTGAGGCTGTCGTGACAGGCAGTGGTGGTGGGTCCAGTGGGGGGGTGGTAGAGAGCAGCATTAAATCGGCTGCGTTGGGGATGGGCAGCAGCAGCAGCAGCAGCAGCAGCAGGTCGTTGATGGCAGCAGCTCGGGCTATCTTTGCCGCTGTGAAGAGCAGCAAGGCGTTTGAGAAGATGAGAGGGGCAGCTGCTGCTGCTGCACGCTCCAAGGCACCTGCTGGTGCCTCCACTAAAGGCACTAAAAACTCTGCTCGTGTAAAGCCGGGCTCTTCTCTGCCGCCCTCTGCCCCATCACGGCCTTCCTCCTCTTCCTCCGCCGTTTCCTCCTCCTCCTCTGTCTCCTCCTCTGCCTCGTCTTCCTCGTTCTCCTCCAACCAGCAACCAACCGGTCCTCTCCTAAAGCTCGTGAACCCATACGCTACATACTATATCTCGCCGACTCCCCCGCCTCCTCGCCCCCCCCCGCCCCAGTCCCCCCCTCCGTCCCCGCCTCCCCCGATAAGCACCCCGCCTGACAGCATGGCGTGCCCTCCCTCCCCCCCTCCCCCGCCGGCGTACGGGGACTACAGGTGCCTGTGTGGGCCGGGGCTCAGCCTCGCCATCAGCAAGGACGGCAGCCAGGCTTGCGTCATGGGTGAGTTTACTTTTGAGGCGCCTCAAAAGCCCCCTCCCCCGCCAGTGTACGGGGATTACAGGTGCCTGTGTGGGCCGGGGCTGAGCCTGGCTATCAGCAAGGATGGCAGCCAGGCTTGCGTCATGGGTGAGCTGGGGGGGGGTTGGGGGAAAGGTGGGGGGTGGAGGGGGGGGAGGTGTGGGGGAGAGAGTGGGGGAGGGGATGGGGGCAAAGAGAAGAGTTGATGGGGAGTGGAAGGGGATGGGAAATGCGGGAGGTGTGGGAGCAAGAGCAGTGTGGTGAGGGAAGAATGTGGTACGATGCTATGAAGAATGTTGTCTGATAGGAGGCAGCAGCAACTTCACATTCCTTGCATTCAAGCACTCGTCACCTCTCTCACTCCCCCCCTTGGTCCTCCAGCACACACCACGAATCCCAATCTCCGTCTTCTCACTAATCCCACCTTGCACTCCTCCCTTTGCCCCTCCCTCCGCCCTCCCCTCCGCCCTCCACCCCTTTCAGAGGACGCATGTGCAGCGTTCACGAGCAACCCGTGTGGGGGGGGTGCGTGTGTGAACGACGGAGAGGGTGGGTACTCGTGTGTGTGTCCGCCCAACTACATGCGCAGCACTCTCAGCTCCGGTGCCCCCACCTGCGTGCCTCGTGAGTCTTCTTCCGACTCCAGTCTTGCACCTCGCCTTGCACACCGCACCACACCGCACCACACCGCACCACAAGAAAATGCACCAAACCATAACCACGCTACGCCACAGCAGCAAAGCCTTCAGCCTACTCTTGACACTCAGCTAGCGCGTGCTGTGACTCCCGCTAATGCCTTCGGTTTTCCTGTCTGACAGTTCCCCACCCATCATTCTGGTCACCCTATCCCTTAACCCCCTCGAATTGTCTTTCATTGATACATGCATTGATATAACCCTCTCTCACCCGTGCTCCTCCTCGCCCTCTTACTCTTCCTTGCATCTGTCCCCGTGCAGGCACGGCGGGCAAGAGCAGCACGTACCAGGTGGTGGGAGGTGAGACGTGCTACGACATCTACATGTTCTTCGGCCTCTCACAGGACACCTTCCTGCACCAGAACGCCGTGAGTACTGCCCCTGCCGCTGCTGCTGCTGCCGCTGCTGCTGCTGCTGCTGCTGCTGCTGCTGCTGCTGCTGCTGCTGCTGCTGCTGCTGCTGCTGCTGCTGCCTCTGCCCCTGTGTTTCCTCCTTCATCTATGGATCTCTTCCTGTGCACCTCCAAACCCCCTCTCTCTCTCTCCGCGTCCCTCCTGGCAGGGCATTGACTGTGACAACTTGCAGGAGGGCATGGTGCTGTCTGTTCAACCAGACGACGACCTTGAGAGCTGCCGCACCAGATACCCCATCTCACTGGTACTACCCCATCTCACTGGTACTACCCCATCTCACTGGTACTACCCCATCTCACTGGTACTACCCCATCTCACTGGTACTACCCCATCTCACTGGTACTACCCCATCTCACTGGTACTACCCCATCTCACTGGTACTACCCCATCTCACTGGTACTACCCCATCTCACTGGTACTACCCCATCTCACTGGTACTACCCCATCTCATTGGTACTACCCCATCTCACTGGTACTACCCCATCTCACTGGTACTACCCCATCTCATTGGTACTATCCCATCTCACTGGTACTACCCCATCTCACTGGTACTACCCCATCTCACTGGTACTACCCCATCTCACTGGTAGTACCCCATCTCACTGGTACTACCCCATCTCACTGGTACTACCCCATCTCACTGGTACTACCCCATCTCACTGGTACCCGCCCACCATCTCACTAATACTCCCTCATCTCATTGGTATTCCCCATTTCACCAGCAGCCCTTCACATGGATCCTTCACTCTCCACACACACCTTCTCTTCCTCCCTCTCACTTTCCCACCGCCCCCCAGCCAAGAGCCTGGCTGTGCAGCGTCTCAAAAATCTCCCCCTCGTCTCCTCCTGCCGTGCACCCCCTCAGGTGGACAGCCTGGCATCGGACTGTTTGGCCATAGAGGACCGCTTTGGCGTGTAGATTTGAGGCGCCTCAAAACTAAACGTCTCAGATGTCCCCCTTTCTCCTCCTCCTGCCGCGCCACCCCTTCACTTCAGGTGGACAGCCTGGCATCGGACTGTTCGGCCATAGAGGACCGCTTTGGCGTGGACGTGGTTTCACTTAACCCAGGCATCGACTGCTCACACCTTGTGCCTGGCCATCAGGTAACAGACCTCAGGGGGTTTCAGAGTCATTGTTCAGGTTGATATTTTTCTTCTTCTTCTTCTTCGTCTTCCTCTTGTTCTTCTTCTTTAAGGTCCATGGTTTGGTGTTTTGAGTTTGGAGGGTCTACTTTGTCCTCTTCCTGCACACACCACAGATTCACCACTACTCGACTCACCCCAGAATCCTAGGTCTGAGGCGCCTCATGTGCCGTTTGAGTCGACTCAAAATGTACCGCCACCCACCACCCCCCCCATCCCCTCCCGTCTCCCGGCAGGTGTGTGTGGAGCGCGGGAAGGGCATGGCAGGCGTGGAGGAGCACCGCATGTGCACCAAGTACCAGCGCGTGGACGTGGGGGACACGTGCGAGAGCCTCATCGACAGCAACGGCCTCTCGTGGCTGTCTCTGTTCCGCCTCAACCCCGGCCTGCTGTGCGATAATCTCAACGGGCTCATTGACCAAGAGGTGTGTTGGGGGAGGATGGGGAGGGGGTGGGAGTAGGAGAGAGGGGGCGCGTTGGGAGTGCTACAGATTGTTACCCACTTGTGGAGCTGCCAGCAACGGCCTCTCGTGGCTGTCTCTGTACCGCCTCAACCCGGGTCTGCTGTGTGATAACCTCAACGGGCTCATTGACCAAGAGGTGTGAGGGGCGGGAGGGGGGAGAGGATGCGATGGGAGTCGGTGGGAAGAGAGGTGGGAGAGCAAGGGAATGGTACTCATTTGTGCAGTTGCCTTTCTGCATCTGAGCTGTCTCAGAAATGTTATTTTCCTTGTAACGGCAAATCTGACTAGCTGGTTTTTTAGATCTCAAAAACCCTCGCATGCAGAGCAATAGTGCTGAGTGGGCTGCACACCCCACGTTTCCGCTGTGTGAGATGGAGTTGGCTTTTGAGTCGACTCAGAAGCTTGCTCCCTGCCTGGTGCACCTGACCTCATCCCATTCTGTGCCCCCCCTCTCTCTCTCTGCTTGCATGACAAACTTCTGCACCGCAACCACCTCCCTCCCCATCCAACACAACCCACCTGCACTCCCCCGTCTTCCCCCAACACAAGCCCCTCTCAGAGAGTACTGCTGCTTTTGCCCTCTTGCCCGCTACTTCCCCCTCTCACAACTCTTGTCCCTCTTGCCCGCTCTTCCTCTCCCTCTCCCTCTGCCTCTCCCTCTCCCTCTCCCTCTCCCTCTCCCTCTCCCTCTCCCTCTCCCTCTCCCTCTCCCTCTCCCTTTCCCTCTCCCTCTCCCTCTCCCTCTCCCTCTCTCTCGCCCAACCTCCTTCAGACCTGTGTGGCGGGGCACCCAGTGGGCGCAGTCGTGTGTGGGAAGCCGGTGCAGGGGGTGAAGAACCGCAAGTACACAGTGAACGCTTTTCAATTCAACTGAGATATTGCTGTCCCTCTCGCCTGCTTTCCTCTCCCCACCATCCCCCACCCCCTCGGCAGATCTGTGTGGCGGGGCACCCAGTGGGCGCGGTGGTGTGTGGGAAGCCGGTGCAGGGGGTGAAGAACCGCAAGTACACAGTGAACGCGGGCGACAGCTGTGCGTCGCTGGTGGTGGTGCAGTTCCAGCGCCAGCCGCCGCTCGTGCCACTGCTCAACCGCGGGTGGATGTGCCGCCAGCAGTCGCTCTTCAAAGGCATGCCGCTCAGCATTCCCTCCTGAAGGCCGCGTTGTTTGGAGCAAGGCGGAAGAGGAAGGGATGAGGAGGTAATGCTGCTTGGAGAGCACGCACGGAGGTATATGGAAGAGGACAATAACGGGTACTGACAAGAGGGGCCCATGTGTTTGCTTCGAAGACAAGCTAACGTGAGCAGCGCGCGCAGTCACTCACCTGACAGCATGAGGGTTTGACACAGTAGTATAGGCTGGAATATTAGTACGGTGTTGGAGAATCAGCTAACGTGGAAGCATGCATCTTGCTGTTCCACAAAAGATAATGCACCCTGGTGCTGTAGGTCTTTTTCCTCTGTGTGTAGTAGTGATGGTCGTTTTGTGGCCACACACAGTGATGATTGTGACCAATATGTAACTGGATACTAGCAAACCTCCTTCTATATAATTATTATTTACGTGTGATCAGGTGGCAACTGTCGTTGGAATGGTGGTGTTAATACTCAGGCCTTACACTGTACGTGTATCTATAATAGTTGTTTTTATATACAAAGGCGTTGCATAGGTGCCAAAGTTGGGAAAATCATTCAGTTTGGGGAAAATATGGAATATGATGGCTGAAGCTTGTAGTATGGGAATAGATGCATCCGCAGTATTGAGTGATGATGTCGTCTGTTGGCAGAAAACCTGTCAATGCCAGTGCACCCGCCTTTTTCAGGTAAAGTCGCCCTTTTATTTTCACCGTCTGCCCGAAAGTTCGTAATGCCTAGCACAGAGTGACAGTACGAGCCATTTCATATACAGTATGGCGCAACTACCATTCTTTCGACTCGATTCTACTCTTCTGCCCGACAAGATGTGAATGAAATTCACCATGCCTGAAGACTCGGCCCGGAGTACACGATTCGCCAAATACTTTCTTGGCAGAGCGAGACGCGACTGATTTCGCAGAAGCGGCTCGCAGCAGCGACACGCAGCACCCTTGAACCCACCCACCTTTCACACCTTATCGTGCCCTTCGCATCTCTTTCAAACGCTCTTAGTTCCTTTAATCCTATTTCAACCCTCTCGAGTCTCGATCCCTGGCTCCAACCCCAATCTCCACCCCGTCTCGCCTAACAAAAATCCCTGTCCCTACGAGTTCATCCCTCACTGCGCAGCACACTCGCATTGGTCAGATGACAGGTCGCTAGTCATTGCGAAATTCGAAACACACAAAGCGACTGCGCAGAGCACGAACAGAACAAGAACAGAAGACCATGCACAAGCTCACCATGACCGAATTTATTCTCGCATCGTGGCGGGCACACGAGCACCCAAGCGATACACTTTCCATGAACCATCCAATCGCAGACCTACGCTGTACTGTAGTAGACCACACCGTGCTTCCTCCATGGGAACTTCTGGTGGAATAGACCGATCGTCCTCGGCTGACTACTCTCGCTTGCATGCAGCTATGTCACCATCCCTAAAACCTCGGTCTTCGGTCTCATACATCACCCATCCCTGCGAAAGCAATGCTGAAAGCTAGTACGGCTACCCGCGTAACGCCAGCGAGGTCTAGTGCGAACATCAACACTTACTACTACGGTCGAATTTCCTGATGTGCTAGCTCAGGATACAAAGAGGATCCATTCTCTGCTTCTTGTCGCGTGTAGCTTACATCAGAATCCGACCGTCGCACAGCTCGTGCGCTTACATGAGAAGCATATCCTTGGCACTCATATACGTGTCGCTCATATCCGTGTCGCTCATATCCTTGCCGCTCTCACAGGAGAACTCCGCGATCTACGCATTGCGACTAGTCGGTGTGACGAGACTTGAGGCGCCTCGGAAATCGTGTTTGTGTGGGCCTGCTGCTACTACTACTCAATGTCCGTCGGCTTGCTACCGTGGGAATAGTATATGCCAGGCTGGTCGTAGTCTGCTCCTTATTCCCCGCACGGCAAGGCCCCTCCTTCGACGCAGCCGCAACGCTTCGCTTCTCTCTTACTCTTTGCGACGGTTTTACACCGTGCACTCGGCAGCACAGCGCACATTACGACCCTGCGCGCGCGCGCCCGCGGCGAGCCGTTGACGTTCTAGAGCTCACAACGACAAAAAGAAGAAAGGACGCAAGGAAGGCTCGCGAAACGGTTGAGAATCGCGGCTTCCTTGGTGTGTTCCGAACCGAATTGGGATTCAGCAGCATGAGGAATTTACCTCTCCAGCAGCAGCAATACCAACAGCGGCACACCACGTGTACTAATACCAGCAGCGGCACCAACACGCTGCCAACTGCAGCTACCCCCGCCGCCCACCACGTGGTCACTCCCTCCCGTCGTCCCTCGCAACAACAACCCTGCTCCCTCTCCCTCCATCACCGCCATTCCTTCCTCCTCCTCCTTCTCCTCTTCTTTGCATCCCCCTCACTCCACCTCTTCAACCCCACAGCACCGCTCTGCCACGCCACTCGCATCATCACCACGTCAGGAAACGTTTCTTCCCATCTGCTTCCACATGCGAGCGCCACCGGTTCCGGCGGCAGCGGTGGCGGCGGCGATGGCGGCGGTGATGGCGGCGGTGGGCGGCGGCAGCTGGGCGTGTGCAAGTACGAGGAGGGGCGGTGGGAGCCGCAGGCGAAGGCGCAGATGCGGTACCACTCCAATTACTGCTCGCTGCTGCGGGTAAGTCGCGCGCGCACACACGGGTCGTGACTGAGTGACGTGGAATGGCTTACATGGCGAGGGAGATGGTCACGGTGGGCTATGCAGATCACATGGCAGAACGCGAATGGGTGGATGAGTGGGCGGGTGGACGGTTGTGGGTGGGTGTGGATGGGTGTGGATGGTTGGCTGGGACATTGTGTCATATTCTAGTCTGTATTGTTGCGCAAGTCGCAAGGGGAATGGCGCTTGTCCTGCCCTGCCACCTCCACGCATCTTGCTCCAAATGCCGTGCCTAGGACGCCCTGTTTCTCGCCCGTACGGCGCGCTGATGGCGCTTCTTCCTGCGTTCCCTGTGTGTTGCCCGCCTTGTTTCTCGCCTTTGGCGCTCGTCCCTCGTCCCTATCCCCCTGTGTGCAGACGGTGGGAGCTGTTAATTGCCTCAACCCGAAAAGACCGAGAAGCCCTAAGTACCTGGTAAGTCCATCCCCCTTGTTGCGCGTACCCTCTTGATGCGCATTCTTGCGCATTCTCGTTTCTTGCACATGTCCACAGTCGTTCCCCTTTCTCACATTCTCCTGTCGTCCATTCCCCCTGCCGCCGATTCTTCGTGTCGCCCATTCCGCTTCTTGCCCTGCCCGCCCCCTCCGTCCCCTCGGGCCCCAACGTCCCCCCGTCCCGTCCACCCCCTCCCTTCCCCCCGTCCCCCCTGTCCCCCCTGGCAGCGGTACAAGTGGGTGCCGCCTACGTGCGGGGCGACTTTCGGGTTCAACGCGCGGGAGTTTTTGAACAGAATGCGCAACAAGTGAGACCAGAGGGGGGTGTGCGGGACTGTGAGGAGAAGGAGGGATTGTGAGAAGGAAGGGGTGTGACATTTCTTTTTCAAGACGTGTCAGAATCTCTCTTTCCTTTTTCTCCTGCCTCAGCTCATCCCATCCGCTCCCGTTCCCCCCTGTTTTTCCGCACTGCCTGCACGGCTTGCCGCACCATGTGGGCGTGCGTGTGTGTGTGCGCGCAGAGTGGTGGCGTCGGTGGGCGACTCCCTGTCGTATGAGAACTTCATGCCCTCCATCGTCTGCCAGGTGCGACTGCTGAGGCGGGAGCAGGCGCAGAGGCAGGCGCAGGCGCAGGGGTAGGGGCAGGCGCAGGGGCAGGCGCAGGGGCAGGTGCAGGGGCAGGCGCAGGGGCAGGCGCAGGGGCAGGCGCAGGGGCAGGCGCAGAGGCAGGCGCAGGGGCAGGGGTAGGGGCAGGCGCAGGGGCATCCATCCCACCTGCATGCATTTCTGTCACTGCTTCTTTGATGCTCCATCGCCATCATGATGACCTTACCATCACACTCATAGTATAAACTCCCGTTTCTGGCATATACCAGGTGCGACTCCCCTTGCATCCTTCTCTCCCTCCCAGCTCGCTTTCCCCTCCCATCATCTTTTCCGCGCCCCCCTCTCCCACCTCGCATCCCTACCTCTCCTCCCCATCTCCCATTTTCCAACCCGCCTTCCTTCCCCACTCCCTCCCCCCCCCCGCCCCCTCCCCAGCTGAACGAGGTGGCGCGCGTGGAGACAGCGGACGAGCTGCTGGGGAAGCTGGCGGGGAGGGGTCTGCTGGTACCGACGCACATCATGCGCGTGCGCGCGTACAACATCACGCTCGTCAACGTCTGGAGCACCTTCCTCAACCACTACGTCCATGATGACCAGGTAAGCCCACGCCTGGCGCGGTGAGGTGAAGCCACGTGACGCGAGGCGAGGCGAGGATGTTTTTTTTTTTTTTTTTTTTTTAGCAGCTCAAGGCCTGATGGTCTTGAGCTTGTGGTGCTTTTTAGAGCTTGGAAATATACTCGTTCCCCCGCCACTTCCCCCCCATCCCCCAGACCCTGCGCAAGTACAACGGGGGGGTGAAGCCAACAGCGGAGGACGCAGTGGTGGATGTGACGCGGCTGGACAGCACGTGGGCGGAGCACGTGGGGCAGTACGACGTGCTCGTGCTGCAGTCCGCGGCTCACTGGCGCGCCAAGCCCACCAAGTGGCGCCGCTACTTTGTGGACAGCGCGGGGGTGCGGCAATGGCCCGAGAAGAAATACACCAAGGCGTTCTTGTGAGTGGGGTTGGGGGGGAGATGGGAGGGAGGGGAAGTAAAAGCAGAGCATAAGATGCTGTGCATTCTGCTTTGTGGACAGCGCGGGGGTGCGGCAATGGCCTGAGAAGAATTACACCAAGGCGTTCTTGTGCGTAGAGGAGGGGGGGGAGAGGGGAGGGGAAGGGGAGGGGAAGCGGAGAGGAACGGGAGGGGAATGGGAGGTAAGGGAAGGGGAGGGAAGGAAAAGGGAAGGGGAAGGGAAGGGGAAGGGAAGGGGAAGGGAATGGACTGCTTGTGCTGGTCAAACCGTTACATGTCTCATTAGCTTAACTCGTGCTTAGGCATTCTTAGAACCATGTCCGTATCCCCAACCACCAATCACCCTACCCCTCACCACTCCTCATCACCCCTCATCACCGCACCCCTCTCATCCCGCGCAGCACGGGGATGAAGACGGCGGCTGACTTTCTGACAGCGCGCAAGGCCAAGGGCGCCAGCAAGCCGCTCTCTTACTTCCTCTCAGCGCCTGCCGCCATTGACGGGTGTGGCAAGTACCGAGGCGCGCTGGGACAGAGCCAAGTGAGTCGCATGTGGTGCCAATATGTGCTCATGCAGTCTCGTAGCTACTGCTGCAAGCCATCTGCTGCGGTCGATTCTTTTCGCCCGCCATCCTCACACCTCTTTTTCTCACCCTCTCACTCTCCCAATCTCCCACCCTCTCATCCTCTCTCCCACCCACCCAACCACACCCTTTCACCTTCTCACCCTCCCATCCTCTCATCCGCTCTCCCTCCAACCCCCCCACCGTCTCAACCTCCCACCCTCCCACCCTCCCACCCTCTCACCCTCCCACCCTCCCACCTCTTACCATCTTTCCCTCCCACCCGCCCACCCTCCCACCCTCCCACCTCTCACCATCTTTCCCTCCCACCCTCCCACCCTCCCACCCTCTCATCCTCCCACCCTCCCACCTCTCAGCATCTTTCCCTCACACCCTCCCACACCCTCACCCTTTCTGTCTCTCTCCTCCATTGCGTGCCCCAGCAGGCGGACACCATGGTGGCAAAGAACCGCCAGGCAGTGGTGTTCCTGAAAGCGCAGCTGGACGCGTTCCGCAAGGCTTTTGACACGTCTCAAAAGCACCCTCCCACCCCCCCACCCTCCCACTCTCCCACCCTCTCACCGTCACTGCGTGCCCCGGCAGGCGGACGCCATGGTGGCAAAGAACCGCCAGGCAATGGTGTTCCTACCAGCGCAGCTGCGTGCGTTCCGCAAGGCGCCGGTGCGGATCATCCAGCTCACGCGCTCCACCATCTACCGCCCCGACGCGCTCGTGGGTGCGTCGGGGAACGACGACTGCGTGCACTGGTGCCTGCCCGGTGTGCCCGACTCGTGGACCGACATGTTCTACGAGCAGCTTCGCGCTGACATGGGCTTCTAGGGCTCTGCGCTGTGACTCGGGGGAGGGGGAGGGGGGGGGTGGGGGGGTGTGATTGTCTCATAGGGAGGGGGTTCTGCTTGGATCATTTGCCAAGGGTCATTAGCAGTTGTGTTTTGGAGTACCGTAGGATAATGTGTGGAGTTGTTGCAGCGGATGGATGTTGGATGGGGTGGTTCTTCATCATGCAAAGGGAGGAGATGGATGGTGTGATGGGACGGAGAATCCGGGACAGCATGATGGGGACAAAGAAACGAGAAACACAAACTGCAATTAAACTTTATGCTCATTACAGTCACACCCAGTTACAAACAAAACCCGTGATTAAATACTAATCAATCCACAACTCGAATAAGCTCAAAAAGCTTCCCAGTGATAGCCTCATTGATCACTCCCATGGGGGAAATCTCCTTCCCTTCCATCACAGCCAGCAGCATCCCCTTGCTGAACCCCGACACCATCGCCACCCCATCCTCACTTGCAAGCACCGGTGTGCTGCTCGCACTAGCGTCCCCCCTCAGGTTCCAATACACTATCTGCGGCACAGGGTAACCCGCCGCAGCGTACTTGCGCACGATCGCCTGGTGGTCCGTCTCCCAGTCGGCCCCACTGGCCCTGCCCGCCTCGTCAAACTGCATGTCGGAGAACACATACAGGCGCTGCACCATGTCGGCCGGGTCCAGCTGGAACAGCTGTGCGCGGGACAGCAGCAGATCAAACACGGCCTGGAAGTTGGTGTTGTAGCCCCACCCCATGTGCCGCGTGCTCCTCACGCGCTCCACCAGCGTCTCTCCCTGCACCCGGTGGATCGTGGGCTGCACGGAGAATGTAATCAGGTGGTCCTTCCACGGCTCGCTGCTCACCTCGCTCACGAGCAGCGAGAGCGCAATGGCCACGTCCATGGGCGTGCCGGTCATGCTCGCCGACACATCACACACCGCCATGCTGTTCCCCAGGGACCCCTTGCTGCGCACATCACCCACCATGGCCTTCCACTGCAGCTCGCCCACAGTGTCGTTCCCGTCACCCTCCTCTGCTGCTTCCATGGCCGTTTGCACCACTTCATGCGGCAGCAGCGCTCCAGCAGCAATCTTGGCCGTGCCGGCCCCCACGTCCGCCAGGTACTCTGTGAAGCGCGGCTGGTCGTGGGAGAGGAAGAGCTTGCGGGTCTTCTTCATGCACACGGACGGCACGCGCCCGTACGCCACCTGCTCCCACCGCCCGCTGCTCATGTGCACCTCGGGCACCTCCAGCACTCTCCGCAGCGGCGCCAGCACCTCCCGCTGCAGCCTCTCCTTTGCCACGCGCACAAACCCCCCTGCACTTGCCGCCGCTCCGTCGACCACATCCATGGCTGCTGCACCTTCATCGGGAGCTGCTGTGCCGGAATCAGCAGCAGCAGCAGAGGAGGAGGGGGGGGAAGAGGAAGAGGAGGAGGGGGGGGAAGAGGAAGAGGAGGAGGGGGGGAAGAGGAGGAGGGCGATGGAGGAGGTGAGCAGTGTGGATTGATCGAACGACTTGCCAGAGGAGGGGGCCCACTTGGCTGCCAGAGAGAGCCTAGGCGCCGGCCTTCCCAACCACTTGCGCTTCTTCTTGCCCTTGCCCCCTCTCTCGCCGTCCCCTCCCTTCTCCTCTATCTCTTCCTGTCCCCCCTCCCCTTCTGCCTCTGCCTGTTCAACTCCCTTCTCCCCTGCCGTTTCATTCTCCTCCTCCTCCATCGCCTCCTCCGCCTTCGCCCCTTCCCCGTCTGCGGTCTTCCGCGCGCGCCTCTCTTCGAACGCGCGCATCGTCTCCAGGTCCCCCTTCAGCGCAGCCGCGAAGATCGCCGCCACCGCGTTGTGCACGGCGCGCAGCCGCTCGCTCGACTCGTACGCGTACGCCACCTCCGCCGCCCTCCGCGCGTGCCTTTCCTTGCGCGAAACTGCTGCCAGGAGCTCCTTCTCCTCCTCAATTTGCCGCCTCTCCTCCGCCACCCATTCCTCCCAAAGCTTCTGCTTTTCCTTCCCGCACATCATGTCGGTCCTGCTCCCTTCCCAGCGGTTCCTTTTCACCATCTCGTTCCAAGACGTGGCATCATTCTCATCCGAGTTTAGCCATTCTTGCGCAACAACTTCCACCCGACTCCTCTCATATTCCCAGCCGCCATAGAACCTTAACCCGCCGCGGCCCTTTTTCCGCATCTTCTTCCCCTCCTCCTCATTCGAGTATACCCCTTCTTCCGCCAGAACGAGCCGCACGATCTCTAGAAGGTCCTTAAAACATCCGAACTCGGGCACGAGCCAGAGATTCTGCACAAGCGTCCGCGGGTGGTGTTGATAAAGCCACGTGACGCAGTGGAAGAAGCTGGAGCGGTCGCTCTTTCCCGTGCCGCGCACCGCGCGCAGCTGCATCACCAGTCGCAGCGCCGTGGCTGGGTCCTCCGCCCACGCGGCCTCGAGCTGCCGGTGCGCACCGTCGCGCTCGGTCTGCGGAAGCACGTGGAAGAGGAAATCCACGCACGCGCTCCCCGATGATACATACGTATGGGCGTGGTTCTCCGTGAGGCCCCGCTCCGGCTCGCTTGCGACGGAATCCGTTTTCATGTCGTCGCGTGTGGCGTCTCCGGCGATCTTAAGCCGCGTCGCATTGTCCGCGTGTTCAGCGGATGGCATAGCTTGAAGCTGTGGGAGTTTCTTAGAAGGGTCATTTTCGTTGACAGGCCAGCGCGCGCGCAGCTCCTGAAGAAAAGGCAAGGCGGAAGTAGGACATTGTAGAATGTGGCTCGTGTCTACTGGAAGTGGGCCTGGGAGGAACGTGGTGGGCTCGGCCGCCATTGCTGATATTGGTAGGACTGAGAACAAAGTTGGCTGTGGCTTCTGACTAAAAAGGAAGAAGCACGGACCTTATATGGGTTTGCATTGCAGCCCTTGCAACGGGACAGCATAACGTTGTACTAGAACTGGGGGCCTGGGCAGGGGGGAGGTGGCGTGGAGAGGACGTGACGAAGGCTTGTGGCGCGTGTGCGTGAAGGCAAAGTCTCTCTCGTTGGTCCGCTCTGCAGGCCTATCAGCAGGCTGAAGCGCGATCAATGAACGTAACGGTAACACATGGCCGTTCGGGCAACCTCACAAGCAACCGTAACTTTCGGGGGTTTACGCTACATCCCCAAATTTGGAAAGGTCGGTCGATTCATGGGCCAATTGCCAAGCCGCAGCGTGGGCCTAGGAGGCTAGGAGTTCTGGGTACTGTAAGGGCCCACGACCTGATTTGCAAGCATGCGGCAAACTCTGTGCGCGCACTTTGGCCTGGTTCGGCAGCAAATTTGCAACGAAGTGGGGGGTGGCAATGAAGTGGCCCCAGTCAAGGTTTTCCGAACCTGAATGTGCCAACGATAATGCGACCCCAGTTCGGATGGGGGCCTGACTGACTAAGGCCCAGTTCGGCAGGCATTATGGCCATTATCGCCATTATGGGCATTTTTAACGGGCCCCCAAAAAATGGCCCCAAGAAACAGAATGTAGCTGCAGTGAAACTTCGGGAAAATGGGCCCGAGTGTTCGGTTGGCATTAAATGGGCCAAGATTAATGGCATCAACCGAAAACGACACTTAGGAGAAGCCCGTATGCAGCTGCGCTGGTGGAGCGCAGAATCACTGTACTGGCAGCCCGGGCAGCCCTGCAAACCAGCGGTGGACGTCGATAAAAAAATCGGGCAAGGGAAACTGATCGTTTGATGTGTTAGTGATGGTGTGTTGGTGATGTGTGATTTTCCAGCGGGCACGACGAGGGGTGAGAAAGATTGGGATTTGTTTTTTTCAGGGCAAGGTGTGATTGCCCCGAATCAATGATCCTCCGCATGGTGCGGGACCTCGAGGCCGCATGGTGCGGCGATGAGAAAATGGACAGTTTGCCTGAGAAATATGGTTCGAGGAAGGCTTCTCTGCTGGAAAATGCCAGCGTTAAAAGGGGTGTTCGGCTGGCATTCCATTATTGTATGGTTCGGCGATGATCCGCTTATATCGAGCCTAGATAACCTTTCACGAGCTTATCAAAGAAGGTTCCAGTGTGGTCGTTTTACTGTAGCCCATCCGGGGAAACCGTTTTTTTAATGCCTGCCGAACTGGGCCTAAGACTCTACGTTTCAAAGGACGAATGACAATGACAATGACGCCATGGCCATGGCCAATGTGTATCAATTTCCTGCCTGATACTGGATTTGAAGCACTCTGTCGATGCACGGCTTTAAGCTCTTTACAATGGTGCTCTTTTAGTGTTCATTATGGGAACCTAAACACCTGTTTCTTGAGTTCCAGGCTATCGTCAATGCTACACATACATCCAGACAGACTCCTACACATGGTTTTTATCAGAGCTATAAGCTACTCCATGGATTCCATCGCGATCAACAACCAACCTTATCACCAGCACGCGTCAACATCAATGTCTTCAGATCCCAAGGTCACCCGATGTTCAAGGACACCAACTATCAAGGAAGGATGCCAATTCCTAAGGAGACAATGGTCCCATCTGGCCTGGACCTGCAGCGCTTTGCTTTCAAGCACAAGAGGCATAAATTGACAACTACTCTGGTATACGTGCTCAGTTCAGCCTCGCGAAAATGGGAAGTTCGAAAAGCCACTCAAAATACACTCTTTCGCAACTTTCCCGAGGAATGAAATGACTAAGGGAAAGTTGGGTACAAATGCAAACCCTAGGAAAACTGTACCCCATATGTGCTACCCCACTATAGCCTACAGTAGCTATGTCATATAAGTCTGACACACCCCCATAGGCAAAGTGGGGGAGAACAAGGGGTCACAAGACCAGTCAAGCAAAGCAAAACAAGCTCAGGGTGGATCACAAAGTCACCACACATTCCGAGCACAAGTTCAAGGCCACAAGGCCAGTTCACATGCAGGATTACATTTATATATAAGGCTAGACAAGCAAGAGCAGGTGTATATATATATGCAACAGTACAAACAAGGTCAAGGGGTGAGCAAGTGAGGCAAGGTAGGCACAAGACCCAGCTGAGTACAGAAGCGCTGATGATCACAAGGCGCAAGTGCCTTGGTGAAGATATCAGCAGTGTTGGCCTGAGAGGCCACGTACGCAAGCCGCAGCTGACCACGCTGCTGTAGCTCACGAGCAAGGAAGTAGCGGAGAGCAATGTGCTTCGTTCTGTGCTCCAGTCTCTGCTCTCGACACAAGGCCAGCATGGCCTTGTTGTCTACGTACAGTACTGGAGGAGAACGAGGCGCCTCTCCGAGGTCAGTCAGCAAGTAGGTGAGCCAGCGAAGCTCCTGTGCAGCCATGGCCCCGGCGTAGATCTCAGCCTCACAACTGGAGCCGAGAACAGAAGACGAGCGGGTAGCCCGCCACGAAACAGAGCCGGAACCAAGGCTGAAGGTGTAACCCTGTGACGACCGCTGCGTAGCCTGGTCGTCAGTGTGAAGATAAGCAGTAGAAGAAGGCGCCATAGCTAGGAAAGCCCTAGCTAGGCAAGAAACAGTTTAGGCAAAGAGAGGAGTTGCACTAGCAAGAATGAGGATACAAATAGCAAACCCTAGAAGGGTTGTACTCGCTATAGAGCACCCCACTACAGGCTAGAGCATAATATTCTGACACACCCCCATAGCCAAAGTGGGGTGTAATCAGCAGAGCAAGCAAAGCAGAACAAGCTCAGGGTGGATCACAATGTCACCACACATTCTGAGCACAAGTTCAGGAAGCAATAGTTTAAAGTTCACAATTATGAGCAAAGCTAGTGGTAGTCACAACGGGCAAGTGAGGAGGAGGAGGGACAGTGAGAGGAGAGGAGATAGGAGGCGACGGCTGAAGCTGCAGACACACGGGCAACAGGAGGCACACTGGCACAGCGGCTACCGGAACAGCGCTCCGGACTACTGGAGTAACTGGCCCCGCGGCTAAAAGTAGCGGCAGACGAGCAACGGACCCACGGGCGACTGGCACAGGTGGCTACGACTGGGCTACCGGAGCAACTCCCCGGACTACAGGTGCTGCTGGCGACATGACGGCAACCTCCGTTCAACCTCCCCCAAACAGTACCACCCCCCCTGACACACACCCCCTGCTTCACCCCTAGCCCCACTCCCCCTTCACCCCCCCTTAGTACCACTCCGACGGCTCCAACAGGTCCACCCCCCTTCAGCGGCAGCTGCAGCACAGGGAGACGGAGGAGGAGGAGGAGCAGGGAACGGCACACAGAAGCTGCACCCCCATACCCCCCACCCCCAAACCCTGATCCAGGAGAACGGGCAGAAGGAGGGGTGGGGCGCCTTCAGAAGCACGGGGGACAGCGGGGAGGACAGGGGCAGCGAAGAACGGGCCGCCCACGGGCCTGGCACAGCCTCCCGAACCGCGCGCAGGCGGCCCGAGCCGCGCGCGGGCCTGGCGCAGTCCGTACAGGCCGCGCGCGGGCCTGGCGCAGCCCGTACGGGCCGCGCGCGGGCCTGGCGCAGCCCGTACGGGCCGCGCGCCGGCTGTACGGGCCGCGCGCAGGCCACGACGGGCGACGGGGGGCGACGCGCGGGTCCCCGTCGCCCGTCGTAGCGCCTCCTGGGGGCGACGCGCCGAGTGACGGGGCAGAAACCCGTCGCGCGCCTCGGGGCGCACGGCGGGCAGAAAACCGCCGCGCGCCTCGGGGCGCACGGCGGGCTGAAAAACCCTAATTTCGACGCCGCGCACCACGGGGCGCGCGGCGGACAGGGAGTAGCAGTAGCAGCGGAAGCAGTGAGGTGGGGCCCACAGGCCAGGAGCATATCCCTCTGATACCATGTGAAGATAAGCAGTAGAAGAAGGCGCCATAGCTAGGAAAGCCCTAGCTAGGCAAGAAACAGTTTAGGCAAAGAGAGGAGTTGCACTAGCAAGAATGAGGATACAAATAGCAAACCCTAGAAGGGTTGTACTCGCTATAGAGCACCCCACTACAGGCTAGAGCATAATATTCTGACAGTCAGCCCAAGAAGCGTCTGCGTGCCCAGTGAGGACCACTGGACTCTGCCCTCCAAGCACAAGCCCCATGCCCGACGTACTGCACAAGTAGCGCAACACCCTCTTCGCTGCAGCCATGTGCTCCGGTCTGTGTCTCCCAGGAGCAACATAGCGTGCAAGAATGCTAAGAGGGTATGCAAGGTCAGGTCGTGTGCAGGTCATCAGGTACATGAGGCAGCCAACAAGCTCTGGGTACGGGCCACTCGACTCTACGGACTCATCCGAAGGCAGAGCTGAGAGCGAGTGGCGAGTAGGCAGAGGAGTGGCCTGAGGCGAGGAGTACGTGAAGCCGAAGCGCTGAAGGACCTGCTGCACCATGTGTGACTGAGTCAGGGTAATGGTGCGGCGTGCTCTGTCCCGGGTGATCTGCAAGCCAAGGTAGCTACGCAGTTCACCCAGGTCTGTGCACGTGTGTCTCTTCTGCAGCTCGGACTTCACGTGGGCGAGTCCAGCAGTGTCAGCTGTGGCGAAGACCAAGTCGTCGACGTACACGAGGATGTAGAACGGCGGCAAAGAAGTGTCGGTGCGCAGAAACAGCGACGGGTCGGCAGTAGAGGGAGCAAACCCAAGAGCCGCAAGTGTAGTCCTCAGTGTGTCGTGCCACTCACGCGGTGCCTGGCGGAGACCGTAGACTGGCCGCCGGAGGCTCCACTGGGTGCCAGGAGGAAAGGACCCAGTGAAGCCAGGTGGGCGACGCAGCCAGATCTCCTCGTGCAGGCTGCCCTGCAAGAAAGCAGTGCTGAAGTCAAGAGAGTGCAGCTCGTAGTCGCGGTGAGCAGCTATGTGCAGCAGTACCCGAAGAGTGGTCATCTTCGGGGTGG